TCCATTTATTAGAAAAGAAGAAGGGAAAAGTGCTTTGGCAGAGTGGGATAAAATAATATTTTGACCTCAGCCTGATCCACCATCATCCTGGCTGACCATGAGTGTCCACACATATGGATAGTCAGTTTAAGGCTGTTTTTCAGAAAATATTCCTATTTTTTTCTTATAATGATATTTTCTACAATTTTGGTCATCAACAACAAATATTTCGACTTATATACTTGTCTGAACAATTTGTTTTATTTATAAAGACATTGGAATATTTTTTCCAGGTATAATTTTTATCCTTTTTCACTCATGGTATTCCTACACATGGACATTCCATTTAGTTTTCAATTAAGCAAAATTTAGAAAAGAGCGAAAATTCATAGGACATGCAAGTTTAAGTAATCTAAAAAAAAAACTATTCTGGAAATGTTTTCAAATAATTTATGCATGAAAGGGTTAATGCATGTCAAAATTTTGTAGCAGATGACTACTGCATATTAAAAGCTAAAATCTGCCAAGAACTCTGCTTCAAAGCAAATGTGTATAAAAATTAAAACATGTTCAAGTGGCAATGATTCACAGTATCTGTTATATATCACATTAGGCCTGTAACTGAAATACAGGCCTAATGACAAGTTAAAATAAAAACCAGTGGTTCTGTTATGCTGTGGACTGCATTTTACTGCCACGCTTTGGGTCCACTTGTACTCTTAGAGGGAAGTCAGTGCAAATCATACAAAGTTCTTCTGACTGATCACCTTTTCCCTATGATGAAACATTTCTATCCTGATGGGAGTGGGCTCTTCCAGGATGACCCCGCCCATATCCACAGAGTACAAGGGGTCACTGAATGGTTTGATGAGGATGAAAATGATGTAAATCATACGCTGTGGCCTTTGCAGTCATCAGATGTCAACTTAGCTGATCACCAATGAGAGATTTTTCTCCACTACCATCATCAGATTGAGGGAATATATTCTGGAAGTGAATGGTGTTCATCCCTCAAGTACAGTTCCAGAGAATCTGGTCCAGAGAAGCTGTTCTAGAGGCTCCTTATGACTCAACACCTTACTAAGATGCTTTATGTTGGTTTTTCCTTTAATCCGCCCATCTGTATCTGTCTGAATGTAGTTTACTTTGTGTTATTAGTCCTTCTTTATGACCTCCATGTACTGTTAAGATCACTGGCACCAACATGTACAGAGCTCCTCATAATGTACTAGTCTTATTTGACATATGTCTCATAGCACCCTTAATGTGGCTGATAGAGTATATCACAAAAACAAATAGTGTCTGCCCACATCAGTCTGTGTGGCCCTTGTAAACAAAAATGATAAAACCCTTGAAAAACTGACATCAGTCACATTTTCCTCTATTTAGTTTACATCTGCAGTTAAATTTATTGCATTCCCTGATGTAATTTATATTTGGCAGGTTGTAAACACCAAGATAACACCAATAAAAGCCCTTTTCATTTATACTGTGGTACCCCCACCCACTACCAGGGGGCAAAACAGAGATTTGGGGCTACTTTATCACATCGCAGAAAACTTGTATCCAATGCACTTGTACAGTTAAGTCCAGAATTTCTGGCACCTATCATGAAAATAAGCAAAATAAATACATAATATGAATAATACATGCAAACTGGGATACGTTGAGCTTAAACATATGCATACACATATTAACACAATAGTTTTTAAACACGAATCATTGACCTTAATCCATTACCAAATTTGTGCATTCAGCAAGCATTTGTCTCTTTTGTGTTTCAAAGTTCATTGGTTTTCCCCATGGTGACTGATGACAAAAGGATTTTACATGTGTGCATACCTCAGGAAACAGGAAATAGCCAAAGGTCACATTAGACTTCCTGGAAACTGAAAGCAATGTAAAAAAATGTTTTTCTTTTCAAGGACGACAATTTATACTTATTTTAAATGCCCCACATATTATAGCGAGAAAATGCTATTACTGACAGAGAAATAAGTTATTTATCATTTTTGCCATTCTCCCATTCTCTCGAAGCATGACAATAGTTCTGGGGTTGACTGAATCTTTGCACATACAGCAAAGACACAGTCACTGTGTGTGTGTGTGTGTGTGTGTGTGTGTGTGTGTGTGTGTTTTTGTCGTGTGTGTTATTTAAAAACACTGTGATAACGAGAGAATGGGGAGATTAAGGACCTCCACATGGGATTTTGAGTTCTGGGAAACATATCAAGAACTCATGAGAAAATCAAATTCTTTAAATACTTTAAGGTATTTAAGGATAAATGTTTAACTTGAAGATATCCTAACCCTAATACCACAGATTATTTTCTACTGAAGGTGTAGTCACAACACATTATTTCTAAATCCAAGAGTGTAACTGACACATATAAGTTAAATAACAATCAGTTGTCTTAATTCCCTTGACTTGTCCTTACTTAATTCAGTCCCAAACTTTAAGCAGTGCAACTTGCAGGTGAGTTTTATTGCCAATGACTCATTCACTCGTGGGGGCAATTTAGAGCAGCCAGTCCACCTACCAGCATGTTTTTAGGATGTAGGAGGAAACTGAAGCTCAGAACTGAATCATGCAGGAGCTGTGTGCACCAGCACTACCTGCGCCATCATAACTGTATTTAAGCATTTAAACTTATTTGGATGTGACGCACTCAGGAAAATTAAGTCACCCTCTCTTGAAGAATGAAACAAAGACGAACCTCAGTAATGGAGAGTCAAAGTGAACTGTGATAACTAAAAGATGAAGGACATCTAGACAATTTATCCTTAAGACTGAATAGATGAATAGTGTTTCAGTGGGATGAGATGAGACAGTGAAATTTTGGAGTCTGTCTGGAGTCTGGTTTGAGAGTACATGTGTCTGACTGCATCTCTTGTTATCTGGTTTTTTTTTCATATTTTTTCTATTTGAAAATTTTCAAAAGGGCATCTATGACCTCTAAATGCTGTACTGAAGAGAGGTGCTGAACATACAGGATTAACATACAACAGGACAGAGTGATACAACATATGGTTAAACCTTTGTTATTATCAAAACTTCTCCTATTAAATAACCTAACTTAAAACCTTCCCTACTCATTTTCGGTAAGCTACTTTCCATGCCTTTTAACAATTTGACCATCACACCCATATGTGGCTCTTCCCCAAACTGTTCCCAAAAGTTGGAAGCACACAATTGTCTAGAATGTCTTGTATGCTGTAGCATTACAATTTCCCTTCACTGGAACTAAGGGGTCTAAACCTGTTCCAGCATGACAATGCCCCTGTGCACAAAGGGGTTTGGCAAGGATTGGAGTGGAAGAACTTGAGTGTCCTGCACAGAACCCTGACCTCAACCCCACTGAACACCTTTAGGATGAACTGTAATACTCCCCAGACCTCCACACCCAACATCAGCGTCTGACCTCACTAATGCTCTTGCTCTTGTAAGCACAAATCCCCACAGCCACACTCCAAAATCTAGTGGAAAGCCTTCCCAGAAGAGTGGAGGTTATTATAACAGCAAAGGGGGACTAAATCTGGAATGAGATGTTCAAAAACACATATGGGTGTCATGGTCAGGTGTCCACAAACTTTTGGCAATATAGTGTATATGATATATATGATGTATTAACACCCCCTGTCAGATATTACACCAAAGAACCAGGTAGAACAAGTACTACAAGTAGTAGATCTAGTGTAAACAAGTAGATCTAGTGTAAAGCAGTGGTTCTGAAAGCAGATCCAGGAGGTCCATAATTATTTTATTTTGTTACAAAGGAATTATATTTATTATTGAGTTCTTATAGTTAACCGGTCTTTTTGTCTGCCAACAAATCAGCCTGCACATAATGACAGCTTTAATCTAACATATTAAGTTGGTGGAAATAAAAAAGCTCTATGCCTATAGTAAATAGTCAGAATATTATTGCACATTTAAATAAAGTGCTTAATATATAAATCTGTACTGAGTGTGCCAGTGGAATTTATTTTACAGTTCTTCACAGCTCCAGGGTTCCTGGTTCTATCCTGAGCTCGGGTCACTGTCTGTGTAGCATTTCTCTTGTTCATGTCCATATGGGTTCTCTGGTTTCCTTCCACCTCCTAAATAAATGGTAGTAGGTGGCTATGCTAAACTGCCCCTAGGTATGAATGAGTGTGGGAATGTGTGTGTGCATGGTACCCTGCGATGGACTGGTGTCCCATCTGAGGTGTTTTCCCGTCCCATGCCCAGTGTTTCTGAAATAGGCTCTCAATCCGCCGTGACCCTGACCATAATAAAGCAGTTACTGAAGATGACTGAATGAACTAAACATATTTAAATGCTCTGTTGCTAGAGAGTTATTCACCTGGTAAAATAAAAAGATATTCTGTATAACTTCAGGGGGAGAGACTCTGCTGGGAATATGGATATAGTTTACCTTTAAAAATTATTTAAGGTACATAAATGAACCATAATTAGTTTTTAGAGTAAAGTATTAAAGGTACACAACATGCGCCTTTCTATCTAAAAGATAGGGTGAATTCAGGTACAGTATATTGGGACATCAGTAAACTGGGACAGGTTTACTTAGCAGTATTTATTTTATGGCCTTTGCAGTGGAACTGCTTGATAGAAATAACATGATTTAACTGATGTGACCTAATGGGGTGTGGTCAACATCAAACAGGAAGTCGACCCTAAAATGTCTGAGGGAGGGAAAATGACATAATAAGGAAGTGAATAAGGAAGACTGGGAAATAGAATGTTACTTAGGCCTACTACTGAGTATGCAGAGATTTTCATGTACTGACATGTGTTTATAATATTTTAGAGACTGATGTTGAATTTTTTTTTAATTTCTGTGATTTTATGTTATGCTGCTACTGCAAAAAATAAAAGATAAATTACAAATAAAGTATAAATAAATTATAAAAACTTACTTACCTTTCAGTAGTGGTGTTCTACCCTGATTTTACTTAAAGGTGCATTAAGTAAGATTAGTCTTTTTTTTTTTTTCAAGATTAGGTCTCTAAAGTTTAGGTCCCTGGAGGAGTAGTGGTTAGGCCGTGGTGCTCTCAACGCCGCGGCCTGGGTTCGATTCCCAGCCAGTGAACCAGCCCCAGCCACTGGGGTTGCACAAGACAGTGCACTCCCCGTGCCGGTCCCAAGCCCGGATAAAATTGGGGAGGGGTGCGTCAGGAAAGGCATCACGCATAAAAACTGTGCCAAATCAAATGACCAATTGTGGAACAATGATCCGCTGTGGTGACCCCTAGGGGGAGCAGCCGAAAGAAGAAGGTCTCTAAAGTATAGGTGGGTTCGATATTTGAATGATTCCCGCCCACATTCACAAAGTTCGGCCTTCAGGATCTTAGGTGGCCTGTATAGAGTCTACAAAATACAGTGACAGGAGGCGTATCCGAACACGAACAAGCATTCCGGTCCGGAAGTCAGTTTTTCAAACGGGTTTTCTCAGCGAATTAATAAACGTTTGCTAAAGCAAGAGCTTAACACTTTGTTTTTATTTCTTTTTAATCACGTTCTCCATATCTTCCAAATCATGTTACTTGTACAAATAAGGAATAAAAAAATCGACTATTGCACCTTTAATCTGTTCTTACTGGATTTTAGCAGAGATTGGGTTTGAATTGAAATATAAACCCTGTTATTGTTATTATTCCTGGAAGTAATGAACTATAAATATAGTCACAACAACTTAATATGTAGTCATTTTACTTTTACAACTGTGTTCATATTAGAATATTGTTATGATAAATTTAAAAAGATTGAAATTAAATTTTTTGATGTCATATTTAAGTATGCTACAAATAAATAAAGCTTTTACATGTCATTGAGGATGAAAAACCCTAAACCTATGAAAATATGTGTCCCAAATGACCAAAGCTGACATTAAAAATTGGTTTTCATTCACCTTTGTCAAATGGGTAAGCTATGCTATTTTAGATTATGATGTAACTATTTTTTCTTCACATCTAGATAGTCAACACTGAGGATTTCTGAAATGTGTTGGGAATTTTGCTGTATTATATTTATTAATGGCAACCAAGTTTGGAGAAAAATGCAAATGGAAAATCTGTTCCAGTAAATCTGAGTTCACCCAAAGGTACAAAAGGTGATGGTAGCACCACATGGAATGGTGCAGTTTAGTATCCTTTTTTATTTTTTTTTCTGAGTGTGTCTTATGAAAATGTTACCAGAAAGACTTTGCTCCACTGGAACTGATGGAAGCAGGGGGGAAATGCATGACACAGAACAGACCCTCATCTCTCTGCTGCTCTGTTTAACATCTCTACACACCTCTTCATGTCTGGTCTGGAGCTCAGCAAGCTTTGTGAACTCAGTCTGTCAGCAATTACAGCGGCTTAAACCGAGCAAATTCCCATTCCACACAAGTTCCGCCGTGCTTCATTAAGCAGCGCGCGACACAACTGCTCCTCGCGGCGCCAAAGTTGCGCGAGACTCCCGTTTCCAGCTCCCCCGACCCAGGATACTGAAGCGCAGATCTTACTACGCAGCTTCTCCAGGGTCCACGTAGGTACTTGTAGGAGCAAGCGTGTTCAGAACTCTGTCGTAGCCGTGCTCCCAAATCCACAGCAGCCTGAATAAAATAAACCCGCTTCCGATCGGAGCGCGCGCGCCACACTGTACGCTCCAGAAGATGCATACTACCCAACAAACTAGTGCGCAAGTATACACAGTGTAGCCTAAGTAATGATACTACATAGTAGGCTAGTGTGCACTTTTAGGAGGCAGCCCTGCTTCTTTTTCGCTCTGTGCGCGCGCGGTGACGTCAGCACCTCTCTGCGCTGGGTAGAAGTCACTCCGCTCACACACACACACACACACAGTTAACAAAGTGGAGGGAGGGAGGGAGAGAGAGAGAGAGAGGGAGAGAGAGAGAGAGAGAGAGAGAGACGGAGCCGACTTTAGTTGTACCGCGTAAAACCGTTAAAAACAGGAGTACTAAAGCAGTGGAAGTGCGGGACTCTACACACACGCACACACGCACGCACGCACACGCACACACCGACACATTTGCGACACATTTTCCCCCCTGGAGCTCGGGGGTTAGCGTCCGCTACTCTCCTGCAATGGATAGAGTTTTAACTTGGCTCCTGGCTGTACTCAGTTTACTGCTTTCAGTTCGAGGACAAGTATTCCGAGGTAGGTCCTGCTGCTGTTTCTAAATAACGTCGTGGCGCGTTAAAACCCATGTTTGCGTGCTTTAGCGCGTGAGGTTCGGCGTTGTGCCTTGTGAAGTTGCTTCTCTAAAGCAGGCGAACTGGTGAACTTTTTATCAGGCGACGTCCTGCTTCACATTCCTGTCCTGTGATAATCCTCCAGACTGACCAACTTCACACAAACTTCTTTCGCCTTCCTGTGTGCCTCATGAGCGCTCAGTGGACACGGCTGTGCTGGGGTTGGCTTTCTCTGGATGGATAGATGGATGGATAGATGTGTGTATGTATGTATGTATGGATAGATGGCTTAGATCTTCTTTACCGCTGTGTAAACTTTGGGTCGGAGCTGGAACCTGACTGAGTGCCACAATATCTCAAACTATGAGTTCTTCTGAGGTCATATGCGTCCACAGCACATTAGATCAGGACACGACGACCCACAAGTGGCTTTGCTTTGGGTGTTGTAGGTGTTAAAACGTGTGCGTGTGCGAGTGCTTGTGTGCGTGTGTGCTTGCGTGTGTATGTGTATGTGTGTGCGTATGCGCGCGCGCGCTGGGTTTTTTTTTTGGGAGTCGGCTGAAGAAATTCCTTGTAACCGTTACATTTAGGTGAATACTCCAAAACCCCAACAACAACAACAACAAATATTCAACTCGGAAGCTTTAGAGATTCTTAATGAAACTTGGATCACTGCATATCTTGGGAATGTCTGCTATCTAGAGGCACTTCTACAGGTTCAACCGGTAAAACAAGCCGAAAAACCCCTTCAAGATCTCCCCTGAACCTTTTCTTTTAAAAGTGCACTAATCAGACTAACTTTTCCATTAATTTATTATTCTTTTTTTTTCCCAAAACTTTCCTCTAAGCATTCAAGTGGCCGGCAGAGGAGTGGATAATCCGTGTCTGAGTACACACACACACACACACACACACACACACACACTCAAGCTCGCAGGCTGTTTGTTTGAACTGCTCTAACCGGCTAGAAGTCTAATCTTATCAAAGCAAGCCGTTACTTTTTATAGAGGCTGATCATCCCTCTAGCGTTAGACTCCAGTTACAAGCTGACTGATCCTACAAGCCTAGGCTCCAGTTTATATTCTGCATGCCTAAAAAAAGAGAACATGTTGAATAATCCATTTAAAGACTGCTTGAACTTTATATTTTGTCCTTTCTCTTCCTTCCTCTCTCCTCTTTTCTTCTTTCCTTGCATGTGTGTTGTAATTGCTTTCAGTACAGAATGAACAGCCTAGAATAAACAGACTTTTGCTCTGATCTCTGGCACTCTTTCAGTGTGTTTTTCATTACTTGGTAAAGTTTGCTCCAGTTAGAACATCTCCACTCCTCTAGCTATTTATTCTGCTGGGTGTAAACTGCTTTTTTGAAACTCTTTAGAGAAGACAGCTGGCTTAAGGAGTTCATCTGACAGCCAGCACTCTTGTAACTGGTGTTGTTTTATTTTTTTACCAACAAGAAAAAATGTTTTATTAAAAGCAAAAATTTTCCACAAATCCAGTATTAATGGTTATGTCCTGTTCTTTTGTGTTTGCATGATTTTTTTTTTTTTTTTAAATACACATGGCGCACAGCTGGCACGGTCACCGTGTGGCTTGTAGTTCTCATAGTGTCCTGATGGGGGCAGCATCGCACACGCGGACCTCCAGCAGTTCATACCGTTACTTCCAGCATAGATGAGAAAATAATGCCTTCTGCACCATACACTACAAGTTTCCAACCCTGGTCCTGGACTACCCCCTGTCCTATATACATATTAGTATTGTTCCTGCTCTAACACTAACACTAACACACACACACACACACACACACACAACACTCTTCAACTCATCAAGTGCTGTTTAGTTCTGATTTGTTGAATCAGTTGTGTTAGAGGAGCACTCGAGGTGTACTTCAGGAACAGGGGTTGGAACCCGTGCCCTAGACGAGTGTGAGTTCTGTGAAGAACTGACATGCAGGGAATTATTTCCAGCACCAATTTATACTTTATTTCCTATGATAAAAGAAAAAAACTTTATTCAGTCCACCCAAAAATCGTAAACTGTGATTGATAATTTTTGGCACATGAAGTCATGTTTATTATAAATGTATGGACCAGGTGTTTTGCAAAGAAAAACATTCTTATTCTGCTTCCAATTCTTATTGTCGGTTACTAACATATTCATATCATTGTATTTGTGACCCTAATGCACCAGCTGCATTATTATTCTTTATTTCTCGTTGGCCAGTGACGTGAAAGGATATCCTGTCTGAATCTCCCAGCTGGGTCATGTTTTACATTCTCTTCCGTGGATTTACTCACACACTCGCTCTTCTCGACATTGTGTTTGAGTCCCATTGTGTTCTGTAAGCTCTGCTGCTGGTGGATTTACTCTCATGACCACAACAGAAGGACTTGGATCTGACTGATCACTGTATATTTCTGAGATAAACAGCTTACAAATAATTAACACAATTACCAGGGGATCGCCGACGTACTAAAAGGGATGCATCTTTTTTTTTTTACTATAAAAAGTGCCCCTTTTGATTACAAGCACATTGTATTTCAAGCAAGCGAGCCTTTGGCCTGATACTACACTATTATACTATTAATCATGGGTATTAGATGTTCCTAATTATTATTACAGTAGAACATAAACCAAGAAGATGATTTATATTGGGAAGACTTTGATATTAGGTATGGTATTTTATTTATTAATTTATCTGATAGATGATAGATGAGTCATTTGTCCTCTATCTATCCATCCTTTAAAGCTCATAACAAATGCATAAGATAGCTATTTTGAGATGATTGTGTACTTAATATGTGTTGATTGATTTGAACTGGCTTCAAGTTTGACTTTTTTGGACATTTTTGTGGGCTGTTGAAGTTGTCAGAGAGAGTTGTGTGACTGAA